CAAGATAGTGGTTTCCTCTAAGGGAGAAAGAGGGATGGATGTTTTTTATTTTTTAAACTAGATGGTGAGGACTCAGTTATGTCTTATATTGTTTTGTTTTTTCCTCTTAAATAAAACAAAAAAACAACCTTCCAGTGACATCTCTGAGGCCCTCTTTGGCCTCAACCCGAATATTGTTTTTGAAGGGCCCTAGGATAAAAGTATTAGTACCCACCTACCCCCAATGGCACTCAGGCCATTTCTAGAAGGGGTCTGGAGACTCCTCCCATTGGCCCAGCTCTGAAGCAGAGCACAGAGCTTTCTGTGAGCTGGGAGTGGAAACACAGGGCCTTTGCCTTGTTGTTGTTGTTATGTGCCACGGAGTCAGATCCAACTCATAGCGACCCCTCCTTGGGTCACTATGGAAGTAGATTGCCCAACCTTCCTTCCGAGGAGTGGCTGGTAGGTGTGAACAGCCAGCCTTCTGGTTAGCAGTCAAGTGCCTTAGCCACTGCGCTACCAGTGAAGCCTCCTGGGAAGAGGGGGCTGCAGCTCCACAGACAAAGGGGGGTAGGTGAGAGGAGGCATGATTTACCAATTAACTCCCTTTTATTGGGAAAATATGAGGCAGCCAGCTCCTTTGGAGGGGAGCAGGTGTCAGTGTTGTTTTTTATTATACCACCCCCCCCCACAGCCACTCCCTATACTTATTCAGTTCTGCTGACTCAGTACACGTCACCCTCCTGATTACAGATGCTCAGTTCAGGGAAAACCGCTCTCTCCACCCTGCTGCTGTCCTGAGGCCAGAGAATACCTTAATTCTGAGCCGAAAAGTGGGAAATACCCCTCTCCACAAAGTGGATATGAGGCTGACTGGTGGTACCAGGCTGAAAGGGTTGAAGGTGGAAGGGACTGGACTCCCTGCTCTATCACTGTCCCCTTCCCAACTCCACACAGAAAGAGGGGAGGCACCTAGACTTTTGGCAGAGGTCACAGACTGTGGACACATGGAGCCATGGGGGTGGGTAGCTGTTTTTGCTGATATGAGAGCTGTAAAAAGCATTGGCTGTGGCCCACTGTGGCAAAAGGAGCGTGGCGTGGGACTATGAGCACCACTCCAGGGATCCCAAGACCCACAGCTCTGCTCCCGTCCATATGACTTCCACCAGACCCCTCACTCTTCTGTGTTTCAGTGACACCCGTCTGTAAAATGGACATCACAGTAGTTATTTCTCCCATGGGGAGAAAAATGTGGAACAAAACTCAAAATAATAGTGACAACCAGGCTTATCGGTCTAACAGAGATTGGTGGAACCCCTGAGACTATGGCCCTTAGTCACCCTTCAAGCTGGACCTGAAATCACTCCCATAGCTCAACTTTCAGCCAAACAGCCAAACAGACCAAGGAGGTACACACGTCTTAGAACAATCAACCATATGAAGTCAAAAGGACAGCGTTTGCCCAGGGATAAAGCTCAGAAGACAGGAATGGATAGGAAAGGATAAGTGAAAATAGTAACCACAGGAAGTGGGGAGAGTGCTGTTACACTGTAGGGACTTCATTCAATGTCACAAAACAAAACATGTATGAACAGTCAAATGGAGAACCAATCTGCTCTGTAAATTTTCACTCAAATCACAATAAAAAAAAAGTGTTAAAGATCATATTCATATGATAAAGCATACTGCTTTAGGTTGCCAGATCACCTTATAGATGAGTTCAGGCCTTATCCCATGGCAGACTGTCTCAGTCCCTCTGTCAATGCATCAAATGTGCATTGAGCTCCTACTATGTGCCAGGCAGTGGCCAAGTTTTATAACTGTTCCATTCCCAAGGTGAGACTGGACAAGGTTTATTGAATTCGTTAATTCAATAAATATTTACTGAGCAGGTATGTGCCTGTCCCTAAGCAGGTACTGCACATTTAAAAATGAATTAGACCCACTACCTGCCTTGCCTTCATGGTCCTTGGGTGACAAAAAAGGTTTAAGTGTTTGAATCCACCCAGAGGCACCTCACAAGACAGGCTTGGGTAACTGCTTCAAAGGGTCACAGTCTTGAAAACCCTATAGAGCGTGGCCCTACTGTCTACATTCAGGGTCACCGTGAGTCAGAAGCGACCTGACAGCACCCAACCACCTGCCCTCTGGGGAGGCTGGGGAGCATCCGGGGAGACAGAAGCATTACTAGTCAAAACAGGAAGACTATGGGGGCTCAGGGAAGCTGCGGGGAGTGTGTCCAAGCTGGGCACAGGGGATGAATGGGAAGAGGGTTCACAAAGGAGGCAGTAGGTCCCAGGGCCTCAGTGGGAAAGCGAGCTGCCTTCTCCTCCCTCCCAGGCTAAAGGCTTCCAGAGGGAGTCATTCTTCTTCCTGAAGGTCAGCAGGGCTCCCTGGAGGGCAACAGGCCAATGGCCCAAGCAGACGGGACACGTAGCGGCACCCACCAGCACCTCAGAACCAGAGAGGGAAGCAAGTCAGCAGGTAAAAATTATACTTTTATTTGAGTCACCAGGAGAAAGATTCACTTGTGGTTCAAGTCAAATGTTCAGAATAACAGGCCAGAGAGATTTGATCCCAAGCACAAGCCCACAAGGGAGGGGACCAAAACAGACCAAAGACAACAACCCCATATAAAAAGATGAATGGACAGTATCACACACACGGATGAAATGTCTGGACAGAGGCAAATTTCACATGGTCATTTCGGTTTCTTTTTAAATACAAGTTTTTGGGGTGTTTTTTTTTTTTTTTTCTTTTCCAGCTTAAAAAAAAAAAAGAAAGGCCCAAAAGTGCGTATGTGAGGGGAAAAAGATAGAAATTAAGCCATAAAGTAGTTTTTTTCCCTAGAGGGATGTGAAGGAGAAAACAGGAAGCAGTGCTGGGAGAATTCACTTTTCTCACCATTGGGCTTCTTGTATTTTATTATTGGTCCAATAAACCTATATTCACATTCTAGCTTTGATGTGTTTTCTTTCCTGGGATTAGGTTGGCTAAAAGACCTCTGTGAACTGTTGAGAAAAGGTCAGGGACTCGACCCAGCCCTCAGGGTTCTGTGCTCTTCTAGGGATAGAAGGTTCTGGTAAGGAGCAAGGACTCCCAGCAGCCCCTGGGTCCCTCAGCACCAGTGTGATGGTCCCTCCTCTCTCTAGGGGTAAGAAAATGTCCCCTCTATTTTTAGGATGGGAGGAGTACAAGAGCAGACAGCAAGATTCCAATGGCTGCCTTTTCTTGTTTTGGAAGGAAAATTAAGCTGAATGAAAACAGGTTGCTTCTTGTTTTCCAAGCCCTCCCTTGTAAGGGGAGGTGGAGCCCTTCCCATCTACTCACCACCCTCTCAACCCCAGGTCCTCCTACCAGCTGTGTTCTTGACCTTTGGTCCCAGAATCCACATTGTGCTTTGAGATCAAGAGGAAATGAATGGAATGGACCAGCCTCCCCCAAGGCTCCCAAGATTGCTCCTCTGTTTCCTCACTTCCCAAATCACACAACATAAGACACTTCCCCTGCCCTCATCTCCCATTCAAAAGGGGAAAGGGGATTGGTCAGGAAGTCATTTCCTCAACTCTCCGATTTGGGGAAAATATTCCCAAATCAAGTAATAAGCAGTTGATAAAAGCACCTGTGATGACTTGGTTGAATATGCCCCCTAACACCTTCAGGTCCCCTCCCTCACCAAAGGCCCTGCAGGGTCAAGTATGCAAAGGACCTGGTTAGACTCAGGGTGATGAAAATGGGGGAGAGGGGGGCACAGAAGGGTGACAGGAAAACCAGAGATGAATAAAGCCAGGCAAGGGTTGTCACAGTTGCCAACGAGCTGAGAAGGAACTTGAATGTAGCACCATCTTTCCCTTCCTCACCCTGGAGTCTGCACTTCCAGTTATGTAGCCCTGGGTCACTCTCCCTCTGTTCCAAGGGGGGCTTTGTGTAAGTGAGGGAGAGGCCTGAGGGGAGAGCTCCCAGAGTGAGGCATCCAAGAGAAAGTAGGAGTTTTCAACCCAAAGAACATAGAAGGAACTTTGCTCCTCAGGGCCCTCCCCTTTCACTGTGGGTTTTGAGGACAATATCAGAAGATGGCTCCAGGTACCCTGACAGGTATCCGCTTGCACATAACCCCAGAGACATCTGCAGATACATCTCTTTGCCACCTTTTCTCACATTCACACACTCACCTTTCACAGACACTTATGCACACACACACTCTTTCCTCCACACATGCTAAGTCCTGGAGATACACAGGTTCCTGCTGGCTTTGCTCAGTGCCAAGTCCATTTGGCTTTGGGCCAAGACTGAAGGCTATGGATGGCCTGGGGCATCTTATCATGAGAAGCAGGGAGGAGCAGACTACCTAACCCTGATCACAGGGTGCTGGAGCTGGCATGGAGAGAGGCCCCAAGGCTTCCTTGTCCCTCCCTTTAGGAGTATGGGCTTCCACCAAGGAAGCAAATAAGGGTGCCTGGAGATTAGGGGTAGAAGGGGGGAAAAGGGGCTGCAGGAGAGAACATCCTGTTCCCCTCCTTCCTCACAGCAGTCCCTAAAATTAAGAAAAGCAAGAACTTGACCCAAGCCATGCTTCCCAGAGAACTCTTCACCTACACCAGTTCTGTGTGGGCAGGAGGGCAAAAATCACAGTGTGAGAAGGAACACATGTGGGGAGGGGGGCAATTAGCCCCAGTGTGGGAACTTTACCTCCTTTTGTTGTCCTTGAGAGAAGGAGACCCCTTGGTGAGCCAGCAGCCCTATCTTTGAGAAGTAGAGGTAAAGCCCATCACACTGGTCCCTACATAACAGCAGGCCCCGTCTCTATCCCAGGGGCAAGTTGGGGTCCTACTCCTTGGAATGTGTGGAGCCCCTCCCCTTAGGGATCCTGGGGCTCACCCCAGTCCTGGAATGTTTGGGTGTATGAGGGGGTGGCCAAGAGGTTCTGAGGGGGCAGAACACAGAGAAGGCAGTGAAGGCCTGCTTCCCATTCCAGCCCAGCCCTACAGGCCACGCCCTCCTCAGAGAAGCCCACGCCTGTTCCATCCAGAGAGATGACCCAGAAGTTGGTCAAGGGGATAACCAGCCAGAGAAAGGAGCCCGCGGGAGTGGCAGAACAAGGCTTCAGTTGACAAAAGAAGCTGGAAGGGGGAGTGGGAAGAAACAAGCTGTCGCAGATTTAAAAAAAACAGAGATTCCTGAGGGGCGATGGCCACTTCAGGATGGATGCGATGCTGTGGAATGCACTGAAGACGGAAGGTGGGGCGGGGCGCTGCCAGCGGGCCAGGCTCAGATGGCCTCCACGTAGTTGGCTGGCAGCATGCCCGTGTCGCCAGTGCGCTCCACGGTCCCGTACATCCAGCCGTCATCGATCTGCTGCACATTGATGATGGTGTCCCCATCCTGGAAGGAGACCTCGTCCTCATCGGCTGCGCTGTAGTCATACACGGCGCGGTACCGCTTCTGGGGGAGGGAAGCACAGTCAGCCATGGAGCCGTTTCTGTCGGCCCCTCTGGGATCCCTAGTGGAGCCCTGGGTAAGCAGTGAGCCTGGAGTCAGGAGACCAGAGCTGGGCTCTGCCATGGATGTTCTTAGGTTACTTGGCCTCTGTGTATCTCTTTCCAAGAACTCTCAGTCTTGGAATGTATTTAGCATCTGCTATGAAGGAGCCAGGAGCTCTGGTAGCATAGTGGCTAAAGCACTTGACTGCTAACCAGAAGGCTGGTGGTTCAAACCCACCAGTCACTCCTCGGAAGGAAGGTTGGGCAATCCTACTTCAGTAGTGATACTGCCTCGGAAACCCAAGGAGGGGTCACTATGAGTCGAGGCCGACTCGACGGCACATAACAACAACATGAAGGAGCCAAAGAACCCTGGTGGGGCAACAGCAGCTCAGTTGCTAACTGAAAAGTCAGTGAGAGGTTTGAACATTTGAACCCACCAGCAGCTAGTGAGAAAAAAGACCTGGCAATCTGCTCCCATAAAGATTACAGCCTAGGAAAGCTTATGAGGCACTTCTGCCCTGTCATATAGGGTCACTATGAGTTGGAACCAACTCAATGGCACAGGCACAAGATAGCTGCTGAGGTTAAAATCAGATCTGCCTCACCTCCCACACAACCAATTCAATCAGGTTCAGTGGACACAATGCCAGGGAAATATTTTAAGAAGATGACATACCCTATAAACTATTGTTTTTATTATTATAAGCACCAATATTTTCTTTCGGGAGCTGTGGTGTATCTGTTTTCTCTCCTAAATTCAGGACGAAGACCTTTCCTTGGGAGAAAAATCTCCAGGTGACATACTAGGTGTCTAACAGGTTCTACCTTCCATATCTCAAAACCAAAAAACCTGTTTTCAGCTCTAGGAAATGTCCAGTGAATGCACGCGGGAATCCGTTAGGGTCTCAGAGGTGGGTGTGATTCTAACATCCCCAGGCCTCCATTGCTTTTGGCATCCACTTGTCTCTGGAGTCGGCTCAGCCTTTGGGGCTCCCTAAGGCCCCAGGATTCGTGGGGGGTGGGGGCAGTGAGGCAAGCCTGCAGGAACCTCCCGAATTTGCCCCTCTTCTCCACCCCAACTCCTGGGACCTGGGGAGGGAAGTTCTCTGAGTCCAAAGGCCTCATCTTGTAGATGAGAAACAAACACATGACTTGCCCAAGGTATTCCCCAAGGCTGAGATCCCTATCACTAGTAGAGAGACAATAGGGGCCAGCATCAAAGGTCAGGAGAAGCCAACCCTTCTAGAGAGGGTTTCTAAGGTGAATCAGGAAGCCTTTCCTGAGACCCACCCACCTGTGACCTCCAGGATCTCTACTCACCCCACCCCCGCCTGGGGTGCTGCGCTGTATGGAGACAGGGGCTGCAGGCTCCTTGTAGCCACCGTAGGATTGGGCCAGCTGCTGCTGCTGGGGCTGCTGGTAAACTGGAAGCCGGGCAGAGACAGGGCCTCACAAACTGCCCAGCCAATCCCTCCGTCCAAGGAGCCCACATCACGTATTTCCCCTTAGGCAAACTATATCCTGCAAGTCTCACCCCACATCCCTCAATCTGTGTGTGTGCACATTTGGATGTGTTGTGGAGTCTCCAGCAGGGGCTATGTCCCCATCACACAGGAGCCTCGCAGGGTGGGACTGTGTGTCCCCCACCACACTGGTAGCCTAGCCTGCCCTTCTGCTCCCTTAGGCCCAGCATAGGCCTGACCCCAGTTCTCACATCCTTGGTGGGATTTGACCTGGGGCTTCGGAAGCAGTGATCATCCACCCATGTGTAGACAGTGCTTCACTCCGACCTCCCTCCCACCTCTCTGGCCCCACAGGCTGGGCCCTCACCTGGGGCGCTGGTTGGGATGTGGTGTGGCGGCGGCTGCTGGTGCTCCTGGGGCCTCCGGTAGCTGCTGCTGTCTTGAGATTCCCTGCGCTCTGGCTCTGCGCCTTCACCCCCACTGGGGCCCATACGACTCTTCTCAAACTCCTCGTGGTATTTTATCTACAGGGGCAGAGAGCATTGGGTGAAGGATCCCACAGCAAACCAATCTAAGCACCCCTCCTGTCACCCTTCAAGATCCCGGGATGGGAGAGACTCCCTGAGGGGGGTTTGGGCAGAAAGAGCTGGTGGAAATTAGGGCCTCACATCTACCCTCAAAGCACACAGTCAGTCTGTGACGCATATGGCCCCAGCTCCTGGAAAGCAGTGATGGCTCTTGTCTTTCTAATCCCCAGGCCTCTGAGGGCACCACACACCCCAGGCGCTTGGCATCAGCTGGCTGAATGGAATAGACCAGAACCTTGGAGACTCTCCAGAGCTAGGTTTCTCAAAGACTCATCTTTGGACCAATTCCTTCTGAACTACCTGGGCTGTTAGAATGCAGGTTAAAGGGCCACCACAGAATCTATAGAATCAAGGCTGGGTTTCTGGAATATACACTATTAAAAACTTCCTAGGTGAGGGTGAAGCAGGCTCAGGGTTGACAACCAGTGGTCTAGAGCAAGGGTCAGCAAACTATGGTCCATGGGCCAAATCTGTCCACTGACTCTTTGTATAAAGGGCCCATGAGCTAAGAGTAGTGTCTACGTTTTTAAATGTTTGAAGGAAAACAACCCAAAAGAAGAATATTTTGTGACAAGTGAAATTTCTATGAAATTCAAATTTCAGTGTCTATAAATAAAGTTTTATTGGAACACAGCCATATCCACCCATTTATCTGTATCTATGGCTGCTTGCATGCTGTGCCAACAGAATGGACTACTTGCAACAGAGACCATACAGCCTAAGAAGCCTGAAACATTTATTATCTGGCCCTTCACAGAAAAGTTTGCCAATCCCTGTTTGCCTGCATATTCCTATTGGTAAATCAGTTTTTGGCACAATCTCCCAAATCATGTCAATTTTATAAATTGCATATGTGTATCACTTTACAGATATGTAGAATGTATATTATAAAACTTATACAAAAAATATGAATTAAAGAAAGGATGAGATGACAAAGAGCCAGAACCAGGAGTTCTTAGGTTTTCCTCTTACACACTCAGTGGGAGATGCTGCCCACACCCCACTTTGAAGACCCCTTGTGGGGTCTATAGTCTCTTCACTTTTCAGAGAACAAATGGGTATGTTGGGGGTGGGGGTGGGGGAAGCGACCATGGAAAAGTGCTAAGGCCTATGGTTTGAGGCTGTGGTACACAGTCTGAGGCTCTGTGGTACACATGTGTTGGGCTGGCTGCAGGGGTTGGGGAGGAAGTGGGACAGAGAATGACAGATAGAATAGCTCCCCCTCCTCCTCCCCCCTGCCAGGGGAAAGTTGGAAAGCAGGACACATCAAGAAATCTGTCCTGTCCTGGGCAAGCCCAGGCCCTGAATCCCCTTCCAGACCTTGGGCCACTTGACCAGAACCTCCCTTCCCATTTCCTGTCACCAGGATCCTGCCCCATGACTCTCCTAGTAGAAAAAGGGATGGGAAGGAGCAGGGAAAGAAGGAGGGGAAATCCTTCTAGACCTAAAAAAAGAAAAACAAACAAAAAACCAACTCCGCCATAGAGTCAGATCCGACTCACAGCGACCCCTCCTTGGGGTATCACTACTGAAGTAGAGTGCCCAAACTTCTTTCCAAGGAGTGGCTAGGAATCAATGACCCTGTGCCCCAGAAGCCCCTAGCCGGGCCTGACCCAGTGCTGTCCAGCCCAGGGCAGACCTTTTGGCCATCTACCCCCCATCCTTTCTCTGCTGCCTTCTCTCCTCCTTGGCATTCACTGCACAAGGAGGGCAAGAGTTGACGCTTGGCCAAGCAGGGCCTGAACATTAATAGCTGGGTTGGAGGTACAGGCCCTGGTCCACTGGGAACATCTGCATTGTTTTGCTTTTGCTGGGTAGATGACCATCACCGTATTTATTCCCCTGGGCTGGGAGAATAGGCAGGGCAGCAGCAAAGCCCAGGGCGGAGTTGGGGATCTGGTCTGGAGGCAGAGAATGTTCCTCTTAAGAGTCTGGATCAAAACCAGCCCCTTCCTGTCCCTGACCTTTCCCTTCAAGACCAAGCAGAGACCCACCCCCAAAAGGTGAAAGACCTCCAGGTAAGCCCATTCCAGAGGAAGAGACAGTCTTGGCCAGACTGAAGACCCATCTGTGCCCCCACTGAGAAGGGCCTCCGTATTCACAAATCCAAGGCCAGTGGCCTGCTCTTAGATCTTTAAAACCAGGGCAATGGTGAAGCTACCCAGCCCCACTCCCTTAGTGTTTCCCCTATCAACTGGGGGGAGGCAGGGGAAGGTGATAAGGGAAGGGGACACCCCTCCTGACACCTATCTTCCTGATTTTTGTCACTTCTCAAGCTTAGAAGGCAACCTGCCCTTCCGACTTTTGTGCTGGGGGAGAGAAAGGTCAGCTTCCCGTGTTTATTTTATGTTAATAAAGAGGCCTGACTGCTGAATCTGGGGACCAGGGAGGAAGGTACTCATGTGGAGGTGGGCGGAGGCCTGCACTGAGTCCTGAGGACTCAGGTACCTGGGGACCAGCTACCCTGGGTGACAGTACCTCTTTTTTGGGTGTCTTCTATTAGTGACGGGGTGACAAGAGCCCTGGGGAAGAGGATATGTCTGGGCTCCAGATCCTCCTCCTTATCAAGGGCACAGGCCAGCTAAAGGACCCAAGGCATGGTTCTATCCCCCATCAGGGTCCAGACTCAGTTCTTAATCACACCTTGCACCCTTCTGCCTGGCCCCCAACTCATATGCCTCATCCCTTGGGATCATGAGCCCTTCACCTGACTTGTGTGACCTTGGGCAAGAGTCCCTCCTTCTCTCTCTGGGTCTCAGTCTCCTCATTTATAAAAATGCCCATGGTACCACCTGCTCCCACATGGTCTTGAAGATCCCAACCAGGTCTAGGAACGGAAGCAAACTCCAGAGCTGAAAGCAAATGTGGACATGCATGTATTTCCACGAGTGGCTGCTAGAATCTGTCTTGCTCTTTAAAAAGTCAACCATGGTCCTGGAGACTATGGTCTGTAGTTACCCTCTAGACCTGCAATTGAACTCACTCCCATAGCTTCCAGCCAAACAATGGATAGCCATATAGATCTAATAGTACTCGTGAGACCCAGGTACCCATGGGGATGGAGGCCTATAGATGACAGAAGCAGCCCTAAGCCTAAGTATCTGAAGGTCCTCACCTAGGACAAATAGGTGAGGTCCATTCCAAAACTAGAGAAACTGCATTTTCTCTGCTAACTGCTACTCTGAATACCCTGCTCCTCTGACAGTAGTGGAAAACAAAGGTCTGACTCTCATGTGTTGCTGCCCACATGATTCGACATGACAGCTACTAAGGGAACATCAGGCTTTGAATGGAATAATCAACTCACTAGCCATGATCTGTTTTTTTTTTATAACAATATCTTCCATTTGCTGAGGGCCTATGCTGATATGCTTACACTCACTTCCTTTTCTCAGCCAGTCCAGGAGAAACACATCGTTATTATCCTCATTTTATAGATGGGGAAACCAAAGTTCAACAGTTAGGTAAATGGTGGTGAAGTCAGATCCTTAGTTCTCCACCACCAATGCAATACCACTCCCTATTAGAGACTAACAATATTTTATTTTGAAAACAAATTTAAATCTGTGCTCAACTTCTTTAATAATCAGAGAAATGCAAATTTAATACCATAATGGGATACCATTGCACAATCAAAATGGCTAAAATTAAACAGTCTCAGCATGTGAAGCTATGGTGATGGGAGGTACATTGGTGCAGCGCCTCTGAAAATTATCAGTTCAGCATTATCTGGTAAAGTTAAAGAAATTACACTTTATCTAACAATTCCACTCCATACAAGCACCAGGAAACATATAAGAGGACGTCCATAGCAGTGTGGGAACAATACAAATATGTTAATCAACAGAATCATAAAATGTGGTATCATGCAATGGAATACTATATAGCAAAGATAAAAGTGAACTACAGCTTCACGCAAAAATACAGATGAATTCCCCTGTGGCTCAATTTTCAGCCAAATGATAAACAAGCCTATAAGGTGAACAATAACACCAGGGAGGCTCGCTTAGAACAACTAACCAATCATAGGAGGTCAAAAGGGCAGCATTTGTCCATGGATAAAACTCAGAATGCTCAAAATGTAGAAGAGATACGAAAGAAGGACAAATGGGGGCGGGGCAAGATGGCGGACTAGGCAGAAGGATTGCACAGACCCTCTTCAACAAAGAAAAGGGAAACCAATTAAC